CCAAGACTCAAGATCACTTAGGATGGTGACACTCTAGAGACAGGGGAGAATGGAGTTTACATTGCATATTGAAGAAGTTGTCAAAAATACAAACAGGAAAAAACAAAACAAAACAAAAAAACCAGAGTGCAGTGCCACACTTGCCTGGAGGTTTAGAGTGGGAGGAAATAAGTGCCCAGCCCCGGGGGCAGTCAGTTGGACCCGCCTGTAGGACACAATCACACTGTCACCAAGAAGAGCAGGGGAGCTGAGAGCAGCCCCTGGATTTTAGTAAAGAAATCTAAGAGTAAACAGGCATCCAGTAGACAAGCAGAGCGTAGGAGAGCTGAGGAACTGGCAGGCATGAACAACTTCAAATTCAGGTAAAAGTGTGTGTCTGTGGCAACATGGCAGAAAGGCCACTGACTGTCCCCAGTTTTCATTCTCCCTTTCTTCCCCTTAGTATGAGAACTCCTAAATTTTAGTTTGGTATATTTAGTGAACCCAGATAGAGACTATATTTCCCAGACTTACCTGTAGCTAAGAGTACCCATGTTCCGGCCAGGGATATGAGTGAACAGCTTCTGAGTTGCACCATTTAGAAGAGGGCTGTTTGCCCTCCACCTCCTTTCTTCCTCTTCCCTCAGGCACAAACAGAAGGTAAATGTGGTATTGAGTCAGCTTTGACTATGCAGAAGAGGAGGACACGTAGGCAGTGGGCAGCAATGTGCGAGAAGGAATCTGGGTGACGGTGGAGCAAAGTCGTTTATCTGTCCTGGACTGACCATCTACCTCTTAGCTATTAGGTGAAAGACAAATACACTTCTATGCTTTTTGAGCAAATGTATTGTCTTTGTGTTACAATTTAGCTGGTACCCTAACACAGAATGTTTCCCAAAGGTACAGAAAATAATATTTTAGTACTGATAATAACATTCATTGAAAGCTTACTGTGTGCCAGGCATGGTTCTAAACACTTGACATGTAGCATCTCATTTAATCTGCATGACACTCCAAGAGTAGATGTTTCTGTTTTACAGAAAAGGAGGCACAGGGAGATTCCACATTGTCTAGAGATTCATAGCTATTTGAGTGGCCGAACCAGCAGTCAAATAAGCCCTCTGGATAGACATCATACCCTTAGTCACAAAAAGCATAACTTCTTACAAGTCCATCTAGTTTAAAGGACACAGCTTAGTCTTCCAGAGAGCTTGGGCCAGAATACTAACTTTTCTTCACAATTCCTGCAGGACCAAGCAAGTCATTTAGATTCTCTACTGTTGGTTTTCTCCAAGAGATCACAGGAACAGAACCCAAACTACCAAACTCATGGAAGGATAAAATTAATTCATGTATGTTTAAGAAATGCTTTGAAAGCTATAAAATGCAGCACACATTAAATATTTCCTTAAGGCAGGCTGGGAAATCCTTAAAACCAAAATAACAAAATGCACTCAAAAAAATTTTAATGCAAGTACCATCTAGCAATCTGGCAGATGGCCTGGAAACACTGTGAAATCTGTTAAGGAGAGGGGTATGTTTGGTTTTGTGCATCTGTCATCCTTGACTGAAAAAGGGAAAGATAAATTGAACTTAATTAAAAGAGAGCATACCTGTGTGCCTGGTGTGTGCATGCATATGTGCGCACATGCACACACACACACACACAGGCTCAAAAGAAAATCATTATTATCAAGACAAGGAGTAGCAGCTGTCTGCGATGCCCCCAGGAGCCAGGCAGGTACAGAAGTTTGCTAGTGGGGTGGGCAATGCCAAATGCTTACAGGGTGAGTGGGGATTTGGGTAACAGGCAGCTCCAGCTTAGTTTCAGAGGCACATGTGAAATTACTCCATTTTCCAAGGATGTTCAAATTTATAAATAAAACATGTCAAGGGGCCACCATTTGACCTCCTGGGACTCAGCCCTGTAGACAGAAGTCACATCTGACCCTTTAAGATGCTTCATCGTAATTATATACAAGTTACAATTCTGCTTCCTCCCAGCCGACCCCACCCTGCCCTGCCCTGCCCCACGGTGCCTTCCTCTTCCTCCTTCTGCACCTGAAGTCCACCCCTTTCTATTGGCTTCTACTCTTGGAGATCTCCTTTCCTGCCTTTTAGTTTGTACCCAGTTACCTTGAAGACACAAGGTGGTGTCCCACCTCTGCACGCCAATCAATGCCAACATTCTTTTTCTTTCAACACAGTCTCAACCTGCTACCTGCCCCCGACACATGACCATTTTGCATGCATTCTCATGGAGTAAGGTGGATTATAGTTAACTCTCAATTGTCCACAATGAAGGAGGGGTCAAGGAGGCACAGATATTGCTAGACAGGAGACATGCAAAAGTCACAACGCTTTGCCTTTAAGTCTGGGGGCATACAGGTCAGAAGCACGCCACTGCAGTCACCAGCACCACACTGGGCCTGGCTTCCCAGTGAACTGAGACACCTAGAGAGACCTTGAAGGGGATTTATGGAGCTCTGCCTCCAGCCAAGGTGGGGCTGCTGACCCGGCTGCTCCCTCACCTCCAAATTTCCTTTCTGTGGGTGCCCAGGAAACTGACTGGCTGACTGTCCCTGTGTCTGCTGCAGCCTGGAGTCCCTTCACCCCCACTGCCACCCCCACATTGTCCACTGGCTTCATGGTCTCATTCCCAGCAAGCTTGTGGTCCAAAGACAGACTATTACCTCTGACAGTTTTCAGTTTCACTTTCTTTGCTTGCAGGTGACTGAGGGGGTTCTCAGGGTTGTGAAATGGACCTAAAGGTCCACGCAGAATGGAGGACAAAGAGGAGAAATGCTACCCACAACTGAGGTGTTGTCACTCATCAGGTGCTACCTGTCATGAGCTGAGCCCTGAATTAGAGAGGACACAAGCTCCAGTGGAGAAAATTTCTGGGAATTGGCTTTGCCCTGTAGCCCCACAGACCCTTCAGTTCCAAGGCTGGGTCGGGTGTGTGGATGTCGCCTGTGCAGCATTCTGTGCCCGCCTGACTTACTGTTTGTTTGGGACATCTGGACTAGGGCCACAAACAGTTCCTCTCTGTTTCCATGGTCTTGCAGAATGTGTGCTTTCTCCTTAAAAAGACATAAAGGTCCCCTTTCTTCTGCTCACCCGCGCCACCGGGGTTGGGCTGCAGGGTCCGGCTCTGCAAGCCCAGGCCAGGCCCAGTGCTGACTCTCGTGGCCTAGCTCTGCAGCCTGTGCTCACGTGGCCTGTGCGTTGGCAGTGGCTTCCTTGGCAGGCAGCCAGTCCCAGTTCTTAAAGCTGCAGAGCCTTCAGTGCCTGGGTGGACCCTGCAAGCCTGCATCCTGTCTTCCCTGCAGGAGTTCGCCTGCCCTCCCTAGAAACAGGCATGTGTTATAGAAGGCTTTATTGCCCTTGAAAAATCCTGAAACCTGGGTGGCAGTCCCAGAAATCCTGATGTAATTGATCTAGGGGTGCAGCCTGGGCATCAAGGATTTTCAAAACTTCCCAGGTGACTCTAATGTGCAACCAATCTTGGGAATCACCATCAATGCTTCAGTGTGTTCAGGAATCGCCTGAGGATCCCGTTAAAATGCAGATCCTGATCCATTAAGTCTGGGGCTGTGATTCTGCATTTTTAACAAGCTCCCAGGAGACGGAGTTGCTTCTGGTCCACGGACCACACTGAACAGCAGAGGCAATGGTTGGGCCTGCCTCCTGCTACCCACACTTGGAGGCCTTGCTAAGTTTTTCTCTAGGCTTCAGTTTCCTTATCACTCACTTTGGTCGGCTGTTGTGAGGACTACTTGAGATAAGCACGAAGCCCTAGAGCAGCCCAGAGCCCTCAGAAAGTGCTTATTAGATGCTGGCTCTTAGGGCTTTGCTGGGTGCCTCCTTCCCGGCAAAGAACAGGGTGCGTTCTTCTGATCCTTCTGCTTCAAAGCCATCAGGACTTCTCTTTTGCTCCAGGATTAAGCCAAACACCCCACAAGGTCCCTCCCCAAATGGTCCCTGCTTGTGCCTGCAGTGTCACTTTCTCTGCCTCTCATGAATCTCTACACCCCTGCCTCAAAACACAAGTCACACACCTAAGCCCACAGCAGGTCACCCCTTTCGGCCGCAGGCTCCTGCACATCCCTACCTAGGCTGGTTCACTCTTGCCACGCTCTGACTCCACCTGGCTAACTTCTGCCCAGCCCTTATGTCTTGGCACAGGTGTGACTTCGCCCAGGCATCTTTTCCTGGCTCCGCAGGTGAGGCACCCGGGGCTTCTCCTCCCAAAGCCCTTTCCCTTAGGTGTTGTAAGTGTCGATTTACTTATTTCTCTGCCCCTAGTGGTTGGAAGCTCAGGGCGGGCCTAGTTCACCACCATGTTTAATAATAGTGGAATGAGTGAGTAAATGATAGAATTAATGGATTTAATTAATTGACAGAATGAATAAAAATTCTCTTTTATTATGGAATCAAAACGTTATGTTGTGCAATCTCACCCACCCAGTGTGTTATTGCTGACCAGCTGGGCCCTCCGGCATAGCTCTGCAAAGGTCCATAGTGACTATAGCTACTCATCCTTCACCATCTCCAGCCCCAGCTTGCTTATAGAACCCCAGTATATTAAAGATGCTCTGTTTGGTGTCCTACTTCCAAGGAATGAAATAAAATAAAATGTAGTTGTTAAATTGGTCTTAGGTCACAGAGGGGCCAGATTCCATCGATTATGTTAGAATTTATTGTACAATAGCAAAAAGATGGAAACAACCCAAGTGTCCAACTCCGGATGGATGGCTAAACAGCATGTGGCATGTCCATATGTCTTGCCAGTAGGTTTCAGCCCTGGGCAAGTTCACTATTGACTCAGTGAGACCAAGGAATGACAATGGAATGTTCTTGGGGTCAAAGGGTTTATTACCTGGCTTTATTCTTCTGGCAATAGGCTGAGCACTAGAATTACATCTGCATCCAACAGTCTGCAGGTCTATAGTCCTCTTTCATCTCTGCTTCTGCACAGAGCACTGGGCAGAGCTCTTTATATAGTGACTCAATCAATAATAGCTTATTGCCCACAGGTGTGGAAGCAGTAGCCTAGCACTAGGCCAATTATATCATCAAATAGTTTAGGTTCAGGTGAGGATCCTGGCCATAGGAACTTCCAGTTTCCCCACATCACATGATGGAATATTATTCAGCCATAAAAAGGGATGCAATTCTGACACATTCTACAGTATGGCTGAACCTCAAGGACATTATGCTAAGTGAAATAAGCCAGACACAAAGAGCCAAATATTGTCTGATTTCACTTATGTGAGGTCCCTAGAGTAGTCAGATTCATAGAGACAAACAGTAGAATTGTGGTTACTAGGGGCTAGAGGAGAAAAGAATGGGGAATCACCATTTTATGGGTACAGAGCTCCTGTTTGGGATGATGAAAATGTTCCGGAAATGCACAGTGGTGAAGGTTGCACAACATTTTGAATATACTTAATGCCACTTAACTGCAACTTTAAAATGGCTAAAATGGTAATTTTTGCTATGTATATTTTACTATAATAAAAAAAGCTTTATGAGAAACCTAACTCATGGCAACACCCTAATGTGCACCCCTTAGGGGGTGACTGTTTATAAAAAAGCAGAGCTTCAGGGCCTGAAACATGCCACTGGCCTTTTCTTTCCATTTTCCTTGAGGCTTAAAGCTGAAATGCAGAGCCCCAGAAGGTTCAACTGCGTGGATGACAGAGGTGCAAGGAATGCCAAATATTTATAGTTGGTTTCTTCAGTGGGTGAGATCCAGGCAAAACTGCTAAGGGAGAGAAATAGTTCCATATTCAGATAATGTCAGAGCATTCTTTGGAAAAGAAGGAATAGCTGTGTCAAAAGAACAGAAGTATAATCAAGCTATTGTTTGCAATTGCTCAGCTAAAATGAGGTCCCCTCAGGAAAAAAAATTAAACCCAGGTGACTATTGTATGCCAGGTAATTGTAGCTATTTAAAAGTTAAGTAAAGGGAAGGCAGTTGAAGGGATTCAGTGGATGAATGAAAAAAGAACTCAAGATGCTTCTCCCAAAGAGCTGCTTCAGCCTGAACTAGATATGAAGCTTCCAGAAATGGTTGCCTCTGACAGTGGTGGGACTGAGAGATTGGTCCTCAAAAGCTGATTTGGCTTCTGGCTGAAATCGAGGTTTCTGCAAACTGCTGAAGAGAGATGAAAGTCCATTTCTTGTCTCAGCGCCACTGTGCTGGAGTATCCAGGCTCTGCCTGCAGACTCAGGAGACACCATCAGTGGTCGGTCAGGTCAGCACCTCTCAGGGTTGTTTGCTCATTTTTATGCCAGCCCAAGGAAATGTAAGTTAGGGCAGGAAAAGGGCAAGTTCCTGTCTGCTGGGTCCATATGGGTAGCTGGGGAGGACTTAGGTTCTGGTTTCCGGCTCTCTCCTATTCAGGCTGGGTCTCTGCATTTGCTGGCATCATACCACTTTCCTTTCCTGCAAAATGCATGTGCACCTCTTATCTCCAGTTTGCTCAACCTAAGGGAAAGGAGGGAGGGAGATCGTTGAGTACCACAGTCTGAACGTTACATCTGGCAGATGAGGCCCCAGAGTCTAGGATAGCCGAGCATGACAATTGCCAGGTGTCAGAGCCCTAGCAGGTCCAGGGAGGGACATAGGCATAGGCTTAGTTACTTTCCTCGTCTTTGGATCTCAGATCAAGCTTTTCTGCCTCCAGAAGTCTCGCTGACCTTCCAGACCAAGCCAGCATCTCCTACGTTTTCATAGCTGCCAAACTTTTCCTTCAAAGCACTCATTACTTTGGGGAATTCTAAATTAATAAAATTATTTGGTTGTTTGTCTTTCCCTCTAGACATTAAACTGCATGAGAGCAGGCAACATGCCTGTTTTGCCGGCTGCCATGTGCCTAACAGTGATGGACACATAGTAGGTACTCAGTAAATACTTGTTGACTGATTCAATCAATGGGAGCTAGAGGAGACCCAAAGGGAGTTCTGAAATATTTCACTGGGGTCCTGAAAATTAAACTTGTTCCCATGTTTATTTCATCTTATCCCCAAGTTATGTTACTGATAGCTACCATTTCCAATCATACTGGTAATTATAGGAACCATTTACTGAGTTTGTAATATATGCCATGTTCATGTTTTATCTAATTTAGGCGCTTGTCCCATTTGATCCTGACAACTGTGTCTGGAGTAGGCACTATTAGTATCCCCATAGCAAAGATGAGAAAACTGAAGCTCTGAGAAGTTGGCTTAGTGTCCTGCCCACGGCCATGCAGACATCGAGTACAGAGCAGGGATTTGATTATTGCTGGGTCCTTTGTATGTATACATGTAACTGTACTTCACCCTTAATAAACTCCATGAGGGAAATGAGGCTCAGAAATGTCAAGCAGCTTGCCAGAGTTTACATAGCTAGGAAGCCACGGAGTCAGGCTTCAAACCAGGCTCTGATTCCAAAAGACCGCTATCCAAAAGAGTGTCTTCATGGCTCAGTAGAAAATGTCAATTTAGAAAATGACTAGAGAAGTCCAGGTGGGTGAGGCCACCAGGGTGAATCAGAACCAGAAATTCAGATTCAATTGAACAGAAGACTAGAAGTTCCTGCTGAAGGGGTTGGCCCCCATCTCCAGCTTGGTGCCCACTGCACATGCCTGTCCGCCTCTGTTGCAGAGAGTTACCTTTCCTCAGAATTCCCCCAGCCTGCAGCCACTACCCTGGATTTTAGAATTGAACTGTTTATCTAGGACCAAAGCCTGGGGCAGGGGAAGGTTTCCTGTGACCTCCCTGTAAATCTCCCTGCCTTCATAGTGCCTGGTGGGCACTCAGCCAGCCTTTCCCTGCAGTGCCAGGGCCCCACACAGCTGGGAGTTCCTGAAAGGCTAAGTAACCTCGTCCCCTGTGTTAGGAACAGAGCAGCTCTTGAGTCCATTCTGCTGGCAGAGCAGAGGGAAATCATGGCCCCCTGTTGGAATGGGGCCCACCTAGCTGAGCTTCAGCACAGAGACCAAGGGTTTTCACAGTTTTCAGTTTTCAAAAGTACATTTCCCAGCCACAAATAATGCCATTGTCACGGCAGCACTTCCTGTTTTGCACAAATTAACCATATTAAAAACAGAAAGAGGCAAGAGGCTGGCATTCACTGTGTCTGCTCAGCTGTTTGGGAAATGTTGACTTCTGGGGATGATTTAGAGGCAGGCAGAGACCCGTGAA